CATATTTTTGGCTATATGGCTAATCCCCCTTTCCTACACATCCCTGGACACAATGGGCAATTTAGCATGGCAAACCCACATAACCTGCACATCTTTGGACTGTGGGAGGAAACTGGAGGACACGGGGACAACATGCAAACTCCACACAGACAGTCGCTTGAGGGTGGAAATGAAGCACTGTGAGGCAGCAGTGCTAAGCACTGAGCTACCATGCTGCCCGACCCCCCCACCCCTTCATTTCCAAAAGTCAAAAGTGAGATAGCTCAAAAAACAGTGTGAGTTTATAATGACCGATGTGATGGGTAACAGGTGGCATGTGTTGGGGTTGGAGATGCAGAATTGGAAGTAGGATGTAATGTACTGACATCTCCTAGAGAATGACTGGACTTGGCTATCCAAATGATACAGAGTTATTGATGGTAAGAATAACACATCACACACCTTTGCTTTGATGACTCTTCTACTGCCCACTTCTACTTTCTTAGAAACATTGAACCAAGGTTTTGAATGCCACAAGATCCCTGCCAGTAGTCTCTACCCCACTCTAATTTTACTGTGTACTGCACAATAGTAAGACTGATTTCCATTTTAAAGTCTCATTTATTTTAATATGCACACTGGGCTCAAACAATGAATGTTCTCAGCCAAAAGAATAGAGGCTTTAAATGAGGGAATGCACCTCAGGTGCGGGAGATTTTGGTTGCACCTAGATCCACAAGTAGGATCAGTCTCCCAATCTGTCAATGAGAAATTGGGTTAAATATGCCATTGTCCAAGAGAACTTGCCTGCCACCTTCCTCATGCTGTTTGATGAATTAGAGATAGGTGACGGCCAACTACCTCTCTCAGTGTATCTTGGGATTGGCAGACACTGCACCAATGTGCTGTCATTACTAGAGACTGATTCATCCCAGTTTCTAGAAGGTCAAGGTCAGTTTATAGGCAGGCATGGGGATACTCTTATCAATTGGCCCCGCACCTCCTTTTGGTTACCTGGGTAATTCTTACAGTTACCCCCAGTAATTTCCATAAAATAACCCAGTAACTCCTGCAAATTAACTCTTCGATGCCCACATACCCATTAATGAACCAAAAAAAGACAAATGAAAATGCCTGCTAGGACTGTTTCCCCAGTTGGTTCAGTTTCAGTGAAGCGAACATCTGTCTGCTCTGCTACAACAACAGGCACTGAGTGAGAATGTTCCCGGTCTCAGGACACCATCCCTGGCTGAGGGTCCCACTCACTACAGCCTCCAAACACCTGCACTCTCCTTATGCCAAGGACTTAGGTCCCCCATGAGAGAGGCCCTGATTACCACAAGGCCAGGCCATGTTGCCAAGATGTGCAATACATGGAAGCGGTTTGGCTTTATTTGCACTTGTTTGTTTTACTTAAAGGAGTGGGGATGGAAACATTCAGTTGCTCCACTTGTTGACCCACTTTTTATTGACATGTTTTCTATGTTTGGGGTGGGGCAATGGCCAGGGTATCATGTCACCTACTGCTGTCACACATGGGGGACAATGTGATGCATATGGGTGTTTGTAAACAAATGAGCATCACATGAAACTAGATCTCAGCTACTACTATAGCAACTTGTCAATCTAAATCATGTAGTTTAGAATTAGGTTTAATTAGAATCATAGAATCCCTACAGAGTGGAAACAGGCCCTTCAGCCCAACAAGTCCACACCAACCCTTAGAGCATCCCACTCAGACCCATCCCCATATAATCCACACATCCCTGAACACTACGGGCAATTTAGCATGGCCAATCCACCCAACCTGCAAATTTTTGGATTGTGAGAGGAAACTGGAGCGCCCAGAGGAAACCCACACAGACATGGGGAGAATGTGCAAACTCCACACAGACAGTCACCCGAGGGTGGAATTGAACCCAGGTCCCTGGTGCTGTGAGGCAGCAATGCTAACCACTGTGCCACCGTGCCACCCCATATTGTCATGTTATTGTTTATTATCACATGTACTCACAGAAGTGCAGGGAAAAGTTAATGAAGTTGCTGCTTACGGCACCATCTTGGGTACTAAGGTACCTACTTACAGATTCTTAGGAATACATTGGAAAAGTAAAGAAATATAAAGTCCAGCATTACAGTCCTTCACGCCATCTTAGGTACAAAAGGCATTGAGGTCCAAAATTTCAGGAATAAATTAAAAGAATGAAGAAATGAAAAGTTCAGAATTACAGGCCTTCCTAGCAAATTAGACGGAGTAGACAAGTCCATGCACTGGGCCTCTCCACCAGTCCGCGCCAGAGGCCGGGAGTCTGCTCTAGATTCACTTCGGGGCTGGGAATCCGCTCTGGATCCACGTCAAGACCATGAGTCTGCTCTGGCATCACTCAAAGCTGGGAGTCCATGGTGATCATCATAAAGAAGCTGTATTAAAAAGGCTGGTCAAATTGAACACAACAACCGACTAAAAACTACTGGAAAGGATTCCCATCATATTTCAGAATAAGAAATTATATTTGAAGGAATTATATCGGTCAATGACTCTAAACACTGGAATGATTTTGTAAATCAGAGCTGTGTATTAGAATTAGATCGATGCACACAATCAAGTCAGTTTGCAAATAGTGGAGAAATACACTTGGGTAAAAATGTTAAGCGAGTTGTAATTAATGATTCCTTTCTGACTGTGCAACAGACAAAAAAGTGTCACCTTTATATATCAGCTTTCATAATCTCGAACTCCATTATATCAATGAACTCCTCCCTGCCTCAGCTCACCTGCTACTGAGCCTGAGATACGATTTTGTTACCTCCACACTTGACTATTCCAACTCAATCAAAGCTGCTTCCTCACCTTCCACCCTGTATAAACTTGGTGGCTGTACCCGAAATAACACCAAGGTCTTTTCACCCATCACTCCCATACTCACTGACATGCATTGGCCCTTGGTTAATCAATACCTCAAATTTAAAAATACCAAATCCTTGTTTTCAAAGACGTTGCCCTTCCCTATCTCTGTATCTGCTCCTCCTGGCCCCCAAACTTCAAGGATTTCTGCATTCCTTCAGTTCTCATCTTGTTAACGTCACTGGGTTTAATTGCTGAGCCATTAGTGGCTGATGGATTCAGTGCTTCTCAAACTCACCATGTCTAAAGAGGTTTGTGCATGTGTGTGAGCTTGTGTGCTTTGGTGAGTCCATTGTGCAGTCGAGTATCTGTGGGTCTTTACAAGTCCATGAGTTTGAGTGCGCTTGTTTGAGGCGTGCCTTGTGGGAAGTACAAGCTCTAATAAATTATTTAATTGAAACCTTGCTTTTAAGTGTGGAACAAGATGGAGAGAGAGGAACTCTTGAGGGAAGATGAGAGCTGCAGTACATGATGAATTTACATTAAATCCTTTAGTGTATGTACAAAAATAGAAAGTGGTTGGAATGGAACGTCTCTGCTGAGAACAGGAACAGAATGTGATCTGTGATCCTCAGTGGGTGTCTCTACAAAGCCCGTGAGAGAGAGGGAATTTGTGATGGATTCTCAGGTCGGTGTCAATCTCTGGAGAGCCCAGGATTGTGTAATGCAGAGTCCTGATGAGCATGTGGGATTTTTTCCACATGTGAGCTTTCTATATCTGCAGCAGATCTCGGGGGTAGGGGGAAGGGTGGATGGTGGGGTGGGGGGGGAAGGGGATGGGATGAGACCAGTAGTTGAGGTATGATGCTCTGACATTCAGTGCAGCCTAAACATTCTTGCTGTTTAACTGCTCTGCAGGGACCTGCATGTCTGTATCTGAATGGGATTTCCACTGACCCCATGTGAAGGTCACGCACATCAATGTGGGAATGTGGTGGGAGTAGGAAGTTGTGAGGAAGAGAGTTTGGAATAGATCAGCAGCAATGTGCTTTAAGGATATCGATACTGTAAATTCATTAAGTCAGGCTGTGTCTTTCGGTGAAATATACCAGTTACTTGGTTTTAAGTATCTAACATAGACAGAACTCACATCCCGTCTCACACTTATACAGTCATAGAATTGTATGGCACAGAAACAGACTATTTGCTCCAATTCATCCATGCTGACCAGATACCCTAAATTAATCCAGTCTCATTCTCCAGCATTTGGCCAATATCCCTCTAAACTCTTCCTATTCATGTACCCATCCAGATGCCTTTTAAATGTTATAATTGTACCAGACTCCACCACTTCCTCTGACAGCTCATTCCATACACGCACCAAGCTCTGTGTGAAAATATTGCCCCTCAGATCCCTTTTAAATCTTTCCCCTTTCACCTTAAACCTATGCCCTCTAGTTTTGGACTCCCCCACCCTAGGGAAAAGACCTTGTCTATTTACAATATCCATGCCCCTCATGATTTTATAAACCTCTATAAGGTCACCCCTAAGCTTCCAACGCTTCAGGGAAAATAGCCCCAGCCTATTCAGCCTCTACCTATAGCTCAAACTCTCCAACCCCAGCAACATCCTTGTAAATCTTTTTTGAATGTTCCAAGTTTAACAACATCCTTCCTATAGCAGGGAGACTAGAACTGAACACTGTATTCCAAAAGTGGCCTAACCAATGTCCTGTACAGCTGCAACATGCCCAGCCAACAAGAGAAGATGCGAATATAACTGTCCCAAATGGATAATATTCTTATTTCAATCTTTCTCACTCTGCTTCATAAAACTGTAGCTGGCTTTAGCTTCTGAGTAAAGAGTTACTGAATCTTATTTGTAATTTGTCACAAATATGGAATGCTGGATGATTTTAAGAGTTGCTTCCCATTTGCGTTACAAATGGGAATCTTACATAAATCATGGTTACATCATCATAGTGTACCTCAATGGAAAGCTGCATTGGGAATTTGGCTGAATACTGTTTGTGCTGTCAGACAATTCAGTGCATTACTGATGGGAAGGTAAACTCAGGCTTGAGTATGAACTAAGGTTCTGTTCTGTCTGCACCCTCAGTAAAAACAAGCATGAATTGAACCTATGACACTCTTATTGGATGGAATTTTTGAGACAATGAATTGGCTTGAAGCTGAAATTTCACCGCTCTCAGGGAGAGCGGGAGCCACCAATGAGAGCTGCATCAATGAAATGGCCAGCCCTGAAGAAGGTATATCTCAATCGGGTCTGAACTTTAAGGTCAGTCCAGGGTTCAGCTTGCAGCCTGGTTACAGACCACTTGGAGAGGCTGGGGTAGCCAGGCAGGAGTGAGGGAGACTCAAAGTGTTGATGCCTCCAGTGCACATTGGGCATTTAAAGGAAACCCTTTCCTGTATCCCACAAAAGGTCACCAGCCTATATTGTACCACCTGCTGGACTGCACTGTTGGTATGGGCCCCTCCTGACACAGATTCATTTCCAGCAGCAATGACTTGTGGCCATTAATTGGCCACTTAAAGACCTCAAATGAGGGTGCACCTCCTTACCTGTCTCATGTCATTGCATTAGTGGTGATTGCTTAGGTATCAGGAATGGCACACTTGGTGTGGCATCTTTGATTTGTTTATGGCACAGAGTGAGGCGATCAGGCCCATTGAGCTGATGCCAGCTCCTGACACAGCAATCCATTCAGTCCCACTTCTGACAGTCCTAGACACTTGGGAACTTCAAACACGTGTCCAATTTCCTTTTGAAATCATTGACCATGTCCACTTCTTCCATCTTCATGTGCTGAAAGGTGCAGGTCATTGCCTCTCAGTCTTTAAGAAAGTTCTTCGTCACATCAGCGTTGCATCCCTTGTCAAAAAAAATCCCTAAATCTATCTCCCCTAGTCTTTGTACCATTAGCTTCTCTTTGTCTACCTCATTGAAACCTGACATAGTCTCGTACAGCATTTCCAATCTCCTGTGGTCCCAGGAGTATAGCCCCAGATTTTTGAAATGAACCTTGTAACTAAAATTCCCCTTCCCATCAACCAGCCTGAAAAATCAGAAACAAAAACAGAAGTTGCTGGAAAAGCTTAGCAGGTCTGGCAGCATCCATGAAGAGAAATCAAAGTTAATGTTTCGGGTCCAGTGACCCTTCCTCAGAAGGGTGATCCTTTGATAAATCTCCTGCCCACTTTCTCAAAAATTCAAGCAAGGTGAGAGGAGTTCTCCTTGGGGTCCTGGCTACTATTTCTTATTCAACCAACCTCACTGAAACAGATTCTCTGATCCTATCACCGTACTGACATTGTGTGATCTGGCTGTGCACAAATATTCCACCATCTTCCCTACATTCCAACACTAACAACACTTCGAAAATACTTCAATGATCATACAGCAGTTTAGGATGTCTTGACGTCACAAAAGGTGCTACAGAAGTGCAAGCCTTTGTTTCTTTGTACAATTTTTAAAAGTCTTGAACAGAAAAGTAAAGGGATCTCATGAGGTGGTACAACAAATTGTAGCCAGTAATCAAAATCAGCCCACACGACTCACAGATTCATCTGTAAGGATTTCCGATGAACTTTGATATTTCAAAGGCATTGACCGAGATTTCAAGACTTCAGCGAGTTTGGAGAAAGTTGTTTCCTGTGTCTGGGAAAATAGACCAGGTGTCTCAGATCAATCTTGATGTTGGGAAACAGCAATGAAGTAGCTTGCTGCGTGGGTGGGATCTCCTTCTCTCACATTCTGAATAAGTATTTGCCTATTGCTGGCCAGGGGCCAGAGTCTTGTTATCCAATGTGTCAATGTTTATCTCTAATAGCGGAGAGTCAGTGAATTTGGGGAAAACGAATGATGCGGTGTGAAACCTGTGTGTGTAATATGTTTGCGATGTAGCAGCTTCTGATGTGATCTCTGTGTGCTGCGACCCTTGGATTGATGCCACTGTGACTCCCTGACCACTGACACTAATAGTGCAGAGTTCCCTTGGTACTGACCCTCTGACAGTGCAGCACTCCCTCAGCATTGACCCACTGACGGTGCAGCGCTCCCTCAGTACTGACCTTCTGACAGTGTAGCACTCCCTCAGCATTGACCCACTGATGGTGCAGCGCTCCCTCAGTACTGACCCTTTGACAGTGCAGTGCTCCCTCAGTACTGACCCACTGACGGTGCAGCGCTCCCTCAGTACTGACCTTCTGACAGTGCAGCGCTCCCTCAGCATTGACCCACTGATGGTGCAGCGCTCCCTCAGTACTGACCCTTGTGACAGTGCAGTGCTCCCTCAGTACTGACCCTCTGACAGTGCAGCGCGCCCTCAGTACTGACCCTCTGACAGAGCAGTGCTCCCTCAGCACTGACCCTCTGACAGTGCAGCGCTCCCTCAGCACTGACCCTCTGACAGTGCAGCACTCCCTCAGCACTGACCCTCTGACGGTGCAGCGCTCCCTCAGCACTGACCCACTGACGGTGCAGCGCTCCCTCAGCACTGACCCACTGACGGTGCAGCGCTCCCTCAGCACTGACCCTCTGACAGTGCAGCACTCCCTCAGTACTGACCCGCCTTCTGTAGAGCTCTGGAATGTTTGGCTGATTTTGCTGACGTTTCTGGAAAGATATTTGAACTGGCAACCTTAAAGCTCTGAGACAACAGTGCTGCTCACTGACCCTGTTCATCACAGTGGCTAAAACAATGCAAGTTCTTCTTGATCTGAGGTGCACCTTAAAGCATCACGCGCAGCATGTTTTTAAAGCTGACATCTGGGTTTGTTGGTTTTCAGTATCGAGCAGACTGACAAATTGATTTGTTGTTCATGCTGTTCCTCACAGGGAGCGCCTGGTGTGGCTGGAGATCAAGGCCCGAAAGGTCAGAAAGGCGAACCCATTTTCATCTCCACCATAACCACGAAAGGTAAAGGACTGAGGGCAGCCAAAAACAGCAGAATGCTTCTCAAGTGGGGATTCGACAAACATCATCTCTGTGGTGCTGTTCAAAACAACTAGTCATGCGGTGGATCAAGGGTACAGAGTGTGAAAGGCGGATGGGAGAATGATGCAGACTGGACCTGGAAATGGAGGCACAAGGACAATGGAGGGAGGTGTGAATGGAAAAGGGAGGGGAGGAAGGAAAAGATGGCAGAAGGAGGAGAGGAATGCAGAGGCTGGGATGGAAAGCACAGGGGGTGAGTGGTAGGGGTGGAAGAAGGCAGAGGCTGGAATGCATGGTGCAGGGAGGAGTGAGTGGTGGAGGGGAGGAAGGCAGATGGATGGGCAGGGTCACAGGGGATTTGGAGTGTATTACCATGACAGCAGAAGTTGCCAATATGAGGACAGGAATGAATTTAAGGGGATATCTAAGCTGCAATGAGGCATGTCTCTCAAAAGGAGTGTGTCTGTGGTTTAGTTATAAACCATTGAGACCAGACATTATAAGAATAGTTTGCAATCTATTTCATGGGACAGAGATTCACAGACAAGTGAGGAACTACATCCTCTAGCATCAGTCTCTATGTTTGCCTCAGTGCTACCTTGTACACTGACTCCCTGCTACCCCGATGTCTGATAGCTCAGCCAGTACTATGGCAGAAACCAGGAGCTGCATTATCATGGATTCTTGTGTTGGGGTACACTAGGTCCTCCCCAGAGATTGAGGGAAGGAGACACGGAACTAGCCCTCCAATCTGCTGCATCTTCCTCACATAAGAAGCCAACTTCTCCTGTAGGACAGGGAGAGTGAGAGCAAAGTGTCTGTGACTGTGTGGCACTGTGATTGGGTGATGTGCTGAATAGATAGAGGTGTGGCTGACAGGGAATGCTGCCTGTATGTCTGTCAGCATTGTAGACATGTGTGGAAGAGGGGGGGGTGTTTGACTGTTCTGTGTAAGTCTTGAGTGTCAGTGGAGTGAGCGCTGTTGGGTGAGTGACAGAGATATGGTGTATGGAGCAGAGTGCCATGATGTCACCACGTGAGAACCCAAGTCTCACACACTGTTAAAGTAATTGTGTATTTGCCTGCATTGCTGCCACCTCCATGCTGTCAGCCTTTCGGCATTGACATCCCAGGTGATAAGCTCCAATTCCCACTTCAGGCTGTGCTTCGGATGTTTCTCTCCCATCAAGACAAACATTGACTCCCTCCTTAGAGCCCAAAGAGCACAGCATCCAGTGGTAACGTTGCTCAATCAAGCAATCCTCTGCTTAACCTAATGAAACGTCTTTCCAATAGAGTCATAGAGCACAGAAACAGACCCTTCAGCCCAACTCAAAACTGATGTCCCATCCGCTTCTTTTAATAATCAGAGACTCCTTTGAGACAGCAGGCTGCCTGGAGATCTAACTTCTCATCTGTTTTGCTGGGTCCTCCCCTGAGCGTAGCAGGTCTGAAGCAGTGCTGAAGTCACTGCATAATCCCCACCCCGATCTGCAAGAGTTTGAGCAACTCACAAATCATCAGCCCTTAATCCAAAAAATCAGCTCCAACTGAATTTGTGTCCAGGATTTTAGGTGGTGTTCCATTCATTGTTCTTATGGATGAGAAGAATTGACTGATAATTCAGTCACATACTCAAATTCTAAACAAGGTGAAAATTAATCATGTGGTGTCTCTTCTTGAAGGTTCCAAAGGAGATCAGGGACTGCCGGGATTAACAGGACCACCTGGACAGTCTGGTATTCCAGGAAAAGATGGGAAACCAGGCAGACAAGGATATCCAGGAATCCCAGTAAGTTGCTGCATTGGCTTCCTAATCACCTCTGCAAATCTGACTGGACACATAGCACAATGTATGGAGCCAATAGAAATTCATATATCAGTGCAGTGGAAGCACATTCAAGTGTACCTTTCAAATGAGAACTGGGTAAATGTTCACCCAGGAGAAACACACAGGATTTCTGTGTAAGTACAGGGGAAATGAGTCTGATAGTGTAGTATTTGCAGAAAAGACAGCGATAACACAAAGGAGTGAATGGCTTTGTCCTGTGCCATACCATCCAATGTTTCAGCAAAGAAGTCACCTGAACAGTGCCCCCACCTCAGTGACCATAATCACATCCCTGCTCACAGACTTTGACACTGGTTTTGCCCTGATTGCTTTGCTTTACAGCTTCGCAGTGTTATTGTATGTGCAGCTGCATTGATCATCCTCCACACCACAATGTAGCTGCAGTGTTGCCGTTGAAGTTGCAGCTGTGTAGTGTTGTTGTATGTACCCAATAAACAGTGATGTTGTGTGATGCAACTGCTGTGTTGCTGTTGTACTTCCTGCAGCTGCAGTGTTGATGTTTTATGCACTGGACCTGCTCTGTTGCTGTTGTATGTGCTGTAACTGCAGCATGCTGTTCCATGTGGTGAAGCTGCAATGTTGTCATTGAATGAACTGCAGCAGCAGTGTTTCTAAAATGTGCAATGCATTTACATGTACTGCAGTTGTAGTATTGCTGTTTTGTATGTTGCAGATGCAGTGTTGTTTTATGTGCTTCAGCTGGTCAGTTACTGTTGTATGCACTATGCACTGAGCTGCAGTATTGATTGTGTTGGAGCTGCAGTATTGTATGCATTGGAGCTGCAGTGTTGTGCCATATGTATTGAACTGCAGTGTTGTGTTCCATGTGCTGGAGCTGCAGTGTTGATATTGTAGGCATTGGAGCTGCAGTGTTGATAT